TCTGATTTACAACTTCGCGTGTTAAGTTTGTTGAAATTTTTAGACTTTTTGCCGTGCCAAAGAAAAAGAAAATGGGCTTAACTCACTGTTTTTGGTATCGCACGACATTTATCGTTTATATTGTCTACGATCTCTGTGTTTTACCCACTGGTTTCCTTTGACTTTGAATGACTCTGAATGAAATACTGAGACTCAAAATTCTCGTTGTTTCCAATTTGCAAAGATATCTTTGTGTGGTTTGTCTGTTGGATAAAAAAATATGTAAAGGCGGATTTTTCACAGTATTGTTTTCAAGTAAAATATTAAGAATTCTTTTCTTTCATCTTTTAGCACTCCATTCCTTTAGTTCCGTGGAGGAATTACGAGAAGCAATGGATGAGTGCGAATTGAAAATATTCCTAAGTATTCACATCAGAGAAGGTGCATGGCAGGTGGCGCTGCTGTTTATGGATGAACTTCCTTCATATGAACTGCCACGTGACTGGTTTGATGACCTGTGGTACTGGTGGGAGGAGGAGGAGGAGGAGGAGGAGGAGGAGATGATTGGTTCATCGTTGTACAGTTCGACGTCAGGCATTTTGAACGCGTGGCCAACAGAGTACGACCCTGATTTGGTAACATTGTGTAAAGCGATCACCGACAGGGACTGGAAAGTAACTAGATTAATCCTTTGTAGGAGTCGGATATCTGAAGGAGGTTTGAAGAACTTGAGTACAGCTCTTACTCAGGGTGAACTTTCCAGCTTGGTCCTGTGTGACATTGATTTACAAAGTCGACGATTAACACACCTGTGTGAAGCGCTGATCAGTAGAGACTGCAATTTAACCAGCTTAAACGTCTCTGGCAATTGGTTAAGAGATGAAGAACTAATGTACTTGTGTAACGTGCTCACCAGTGTCAACGGCAAGTTAACCAGTTTGAACGTCTCTGCCAACCTGTTAGGGGCTGAAGGAATAATGCACTTGTGTAACGTGCTCACCAGTGTCAACTGCAAGTTAACCAGTTTGAACGTCTCTGCCAACCAGTTAGGAGCTGAAGGAATAATGCACTTGTGTAACGTGCTCACCAGTTTCAACTGCAAGTTAACCAGTTTGAACGTCTCTGCCAACCTGTTAGGAGCTGAAGGAATAATGCACTTGTGTAACGTGCTCACCAGTGTCAAATGCAAGTTAACCAGTTTGAATGTCTCTGGCAATGAGTTAGGAGATGAAGGAATAATGCACTTGTTTACTGTTCTTACCAAAAGTAACTGCACCTTAACCAGGTTAAAGGTCAGTTTGAATAGAGCAGGAGACAGAGCAGTAAAGGACTTAGCTAGAGCTTTAACTAACAACAACTGTGCATTAACGAGTTTAGACATCAGATACAATGAAATAGGAGATGAAGGAATAAATTACTTGTGCAAAGCCTTAACTGATCCCAACTGTAAACTAAGGAGCTTGGACCTCAGAGGGAATGGGAAGGTAACAGACGTGGGAAAACAGTGTTTGTCTNGAAGCAGTGTAAAATTTGCTGAAATTTTTAGACTTTTTGCCAAAGAAAAACAAAATGAGCTTAACTTAACATTGTTGGTATGGTACAAAATTTATCGTTTATACTGTCGTCTGGTTTCCTTTCACTTTCAATGATTCAAGAATAATTCCAAACACTGAGACTCAGAATTCTTTTCGTTTCCAAATTGTCAAGGTAGTTTTTCGGTTTGTCAGTTTCAGTGAGACCATAAAATGCAAAGGCGGTTTTATTCGCATCAATGTTTTCTAGTAAAATATTAATGATTCTTTCCATAATCTTCCAGTACTCCAATCGCTTAGTATCGTGAAGGAATTACGTGAAGGAATTACGAGAAGGAATGGATGTATACTAATTGAAAACATTCCTTACTCCACATCAGAGAAGGTGCATGGCAGATGGTGCTGCTGTTTACGGATGAACTCTCTTCAGAAAAACTACCAGAGGAGTTGTTAGATGAAATGTTGGATGTATACTTGGAGTTGTACGCAGACGAGGACGAGGAGGTTTTTTAGTTCATCGTTATACAGTTCGAAGTCAGGCATATTGAAACCGTGGCCAATAGAGCACCACCCTGATTGGGTAACATTGTGTAAAGCAATCGCCAACAGAGACTGGAAAGTAACCAGATTAATCCTTTTGGGAGTCGGATATCTGATGAAGGTTTGAAGAACTTAAGTACAGCTTTTATCCAGGGTGAACTTTACAGCTTGATCCTGTATTACAATGGTCTACAAAGAGGATTAAAACACCTGTGTGAGGCGCTGATCAGTAGGGACTGCGATTTAATCAGGTTAAGCGTTATTCGCAACAGGTTAGGAGACAAAGAAATGATGCACTTATGTAACGCGCTAACCAGTGCGAATACTGCCGGCTGACCAGTTTGAACGTCAGTGACTGTGAGTTAGGAGACAAAGGAGTAATGTACGTGTGTAAAGCGTTGACCAGTGTGAATTGCAAACTGATCAGTTTGAATGTCAGAAAGAGTGCGTTGGGAGATAAAGGAATAATGCACTTGTGTAACGCGCTGACCAGTGTGAATTGCAAGCTGACCAGTTTGAACGTCAGCGACAGTCGGTTAAGAGGCAAAGGAATGA